GAGGGAGGGAGGGAAAGAAACAGCAATGTTAGAAACACTGAAAGAAAAAATAGAAAGAAACATTGATCAGTTGTCTCCCATATGCTCCTGGACTGGGGATAGACCCAGCAATCCAGGTATGTGCCTGACTGGGAATCGAACAGGCAACCTTTTAGTGATGGGACAGGCTCCACCAACTGAGCCACTCTGCCCGGGCTGTTCATTGCTTTTAAATGGCACAAGACAAACCTTATCTTGCAATTATAAATGCATTTGTTTGCCTCCCCTACACAATCTAACAGTCTTTAAGACCAGGGACTTTGGATTTCCCCATCTTTGGATCTTCACCACATTCCTGCCATCCCACAGTCTTTAGCACACAGAACGTGCACAAGAAATGAAGAAATGAAAATGTAAATGGGTAAGGTGGAGGCTCCTGAATCTGAGAAAAGAGGAGGGACTCAAACTTACCTGAAGATGTTCCCTGGGGAAGGGATTCCTGCAGCCTCTAAACCAGCAACTCGATTCCAAAAGCAAGATGCACAAAGCAGAACCCATGATCCTGGGTCCCAAGCAGCCCATATTGTGGGAACGACTCACGGGTTTCCCAGTCAATTCAACTGTGAGTTTTTCTTAAGAGGACCAAGTAGATTCCATGGTCAAGGAAACTATGCAGTACTTACCTCGTTGACTATGTAATCCAATAACTCAAAAATTGCCATGGGCGGTCGGCTGTCCATTCCATAAGCTACAGATTTTATAAAAAGAAAAAAGAAAACACTTCTCAGAAACAGACGGGAGAAGTCTTTGCCAGTAAGAGGCTAGGTATTGGTCATGGATCCCGGGGACCAGAATAGGGTAGTGGACAGTAAAGAGACACAACAGCCACAGATCAGGGCTGAACACACAGGGGACCAGCAAAGGTCACAGAGCCAGGCCAGCCATGGTATGAGTCTGGGCTCTGCCACATCAAAGGTTTTTTACTTTGAGCAAATTAATTGTCACTGAGCCTAGTTTTGAGCTTTGGATAATATTTATGTCTGCCTTCCTTTTATTGAGAGAGGAGCAAATGAGATAATACTAAACAACTAAAACACTTAGTTTTAATTCTCCCTGAACTTGTTTTTTTTTTTTTTTCCTTTTATATTCCCGAGTCACAGACCAGCCTGAGGGGCTGCAGCCACCAGCCTCTCCAATGCTTCTCCCTTCATACATGCCCTCTCCCATGTGGGCCTTATGAGAATAAAGACCAGGTCTCCCTGGTCAGACAGGATGTCCTAGCACAGCCTTGGGCAAACTACGGCCCGAGGGCTGGATCCGGCCCGTTTGAAATGAATAAAACTAAAAAAAAAAAAAAAGACCGTACCCTTTTATGTAATGATGTTTACTTTGAATTTATATTAGTTCACACAACACTCCATCCATGCTTTTGTTCCGGCCCTCCGGTCCAGTTTAAGAACCCATTGTGGCCCTCGAGTCAAAAAGTTTGCCCACCCCTGTAGCAGGACCTTAATATTAGAAGACGGCTGGGCCAGGATCTTCTGAGTACCAGCTTTACTTCACCTATTCAGGTTCAAAGAGGCAGGCAGAGCTGCACAGTGCTCACCACCTCGGAGTCAGAATTGGCCAATCCCAAGTGTATGTGGCCTTTGCAAGTCAAGCACTCTGTGCCTCAGTTTCCTCATATCTAAAATAGAGATTATAATAGTGCTCACACACAACTGTTATTAAAATTAGACAATGGTAGGTAAATCCATGGAGACAGAAAATAGATTGCTGGGGATGAGGTAGGAGGAGTTGGGAGTGAATGCTAATGGAGATGAGGTTTCTTTTTGCAGTGACGGAAATGTTCTGGAATTACACAGTGGAGATAGCTGCACTACATGGTGGAATATACTAAACACCACTGAATTGAACACTTTAAAATGTGTGTTTTATGTTATATGAATTTTATCTCAGCAAAATAATCTACCTAAAATAAAAAGAAGAAAATGTCATGATTTTTAAAAAATAGATAATGCACATAGGTGCAAAGTGCAGTGCTGGGAACATAGCAGCACTCAATAAATGGTAGGAAGTTGTTGGTTATAACAGTAATTTCCTACACTTACCTGGAGACTTCTGCCCTGCTTCCCCCAGCCCCAGCCTGGCATCCCGAGACAGGGAACCAGCCCTCCAGAAATGACCGACAGTAAGCGACCCCCCACACTCCAAGCTGGAGCACACCATGACACTCACAGCTAAGGGGCCTCCCAGGGGTCCTTGGCCGGGGTGGTGTCTCAGCCGCATCTCCCTCCACCTGGCACCCAAACATCAGCTCCAGCTCCTTGGCATCTGGAGGAGGGATGGGATACCTCCCAACCGCCATCTCAACCAGAGAGAGCCCCATGCTCCAGATGTCCGACTGCACCGAGTAATGAGTCCCCTGGAGTCTCTCTGGCTGCAGGAGAGACAAACCGTTACAAACACCTGTGAGCCAACCTGGGCCCAAGCAGAAGAGGGGTGGAGTGCCTCAACAGGAGCCTCAGGACTTCCTGCCCCCGTGAGACTTGCCTGCACTGCAGGAGCGTGGACTTCCCCTGGGTCTGCTGATACATTTCATTTTCTTTTGCCCTTTCCTCTCCAGAGTTCACATGCCATGTTAATACTTCCACTAACCTACTGAATTTGGCCTTCTGCCTGTCCCCAAATACTGTGCTTACCAAGTCCTAGCCAGCTCTCATGGCTCTGACCCCTCCTCAATTCTCTGTCTCCCCTGTAACCTGCCCAGAACCGCATCCAGCCCAGCTGTGGTTCCAGCGCTGCCCAGCCTGGCCACCGTCCTGCATGGGTGGGCACTCTGTCCAGAGCCCAGCATGAGAGGCTCACCTTGTTACCTGAGTCTGAAACATGAAGCTTCTGGAACATGGGTCATGAATGAGATGGTGTAGTGAGTGGAAAGAAGTTCGAAGCCCAGCTCTACCAATGACTCACTGCTTTTGGAATGGCAGAAAAGCAAAACGATCTGGGTTCAGAAGACATGGGTTCAAATCCCACTCTGGGACTTCTAAGCTACATGATCCTGAGCCTCCATTCCCACATCTATAAGATGGGGGCTGGCGATGATGGTAACAACAGTAATAACGTAAAATATGCGCCCCACTTACTAGGGTGATCAGGGAGTTCAAAGCAAACGAAAATACATGTTGTATGTTGCAAAATATTGTATGAGTTGTTACTAGTGGGAATAGGCAAAAAAAAAAGAATATAGTGCTATATAAAAGCATTATTTGAAATAGCACATGTATTTCAAAAACTGTATAAAAATCCTTATTCTGACCATCATACTTTTTTTTATTAAGATTTTTAAAATTGCTTTTTAGAAGAGAAAGAGGGAGAGGAAAAAACATTGATGTGAGAGTGGAACATCGATTGGCTTCCTCCTGCATGCCCCCTTTCGGAGATCAAGCCCGAAACCCAAGCATGTGCCCTGACTGGGAATTGAACAGGCAACCTTTCAGTGCACTGGATGACACCCAACCAACTGATCCACACCAGCCAGAGCCATCATACATTTATTTAGACAACAAATTAACTTCTCCCATAGGATTTTTCCCTAACTCCAACACTGGACCACTTTGGAATTGACCACATAACCACAAAAACTCAAGCCACTAAACAAACCCCTGGATCAATAAGTCCCAGGGCCTGCTAATTAATTTTGAATTTGAGAGTTGGCAGTTGAGTGGCCCTGTTTTTAGACATGTAAGGACTAAGCAATGAGGGGATGGCAGAGAAAGAGTTCTGAAGGGCCATGGGTTTCATGTTTAAGACTGTGGGTCACTGGAGTGGAGAGTGGAGATGTGGGTCAGCACTGGTTGAGAGATGTCAGCAATGACTGGAGTTGTGGTGGGGTAGGGGGCAGGCGAGACGAAATGAAGATGTGAACATGAACTTCCACCAGGGAGGCCAGGGATAGCTTACAAATCCTACCTAAGAAGCAAGTGAGGGAATGCGTGCAAAGGGAGACTGACTAGCAAGAAAGAGATCTAGCTTTCAATCCTGGCTCGGCAAGGTAAAGCAAGCAGGTCACTTAAACTCCCTCAATCTGGATTTCCTCATCTCTAAAATGGGAACAATCACATGGATCAAATGAGATCCCTCAAAGATGTAAAAGTGCTTGAAAGATAACTCATAAAACACTCTATGTTCAAAGATGCCCGAGCCTCTGTGCCTGGCCCCCTCCAATCCATCCCTGCACCCGTGTTCACCTCCCGCTCACTCTAATGCTCCTCTACTCTGCTCCACTCAGCACTCATCCAGTCAAGCTTCCCCCTTTCTGAGTCATCCTAAGGAGCGTGCTAGCCACTTCCCACCCATTCAGTCAACCAAACATTCACCCACTCACCAACCCTCCCCTCAGCACCCACCCTGTGCCAGGCCCTGAGGACAACACAGACACCTACAGTCGTATCCCTGCCCCAAGAGCTTGCTGTATGGAGGAGGGAGGAGAACAGCTGGTGCTGCCATGGTCGTGGGCACAGCCTGACACAGAGCTCTGGTGGCAGTGGGAACCGCGGAGTTGGAAACAGGAGGGAAGACCTTCATGACCAGGCCCAGTACCCCAATTATGCTCAAGGCCTATGAAAGGCTAAGACCATCTATCTCCCTGTTAGACTGAAATCTCCTCAGGAAGGGACCATAATGCTTCACCACTCATTTCTCCCCCAAACCCCCCATCACCAGGTTCTGGATCCACAGGAAAAGACACCCACTTAGTTCCTATCCCTGACCAGACCAGAAGCTGGAGAAATGGAACCCATTGCTCATACCGACATGTAGGATCTTGTGCCCACGAAGGAGTTGGCCATGGAGTCGATGAGCTGCCCGCTGACTCCAAAGTCACAGAGCTTGATCTCCCCACGGGAGTTCACTAGGATGTTAGAAGGCTTGACATCTGCAGGGAAAAGAAAATTGAAAAGTAGGCAACTGCCCTGACCGTGTGGCTCGGTTGGTTGCGTGTCGTCCTGTGCACCATAAGATCACTGGTTCAATTCCCAGTCAGGGCACATGCTCAGGTTGCAGGTTCAGTCCCCTGTCCGGGTGCACACAGGAGGCAACCGATCAACATATGTGTGTTTGTGGGTCTCTCTCTCTCTCTCTCTCTCTCTCTCTCTCTCTCTCTCTCTCCCCCCTCCCTCTCCCTCTCTCCCTCCCTTCCTTCTTCTCTCTAAAATCAATAAAAACATATTTTTTTAAAAGTAGAAAAGAAAAAGCAAAGTAGGAAATTGACACAGGTAGGTTGGGGAGAAGAGGAGTCAGCATTCCACAGACAGACCAGCCCTGACCATGAGTCTCAGGACATACCCCTGCCCCCATCAGAGTCAGCCCTCAGACGGCAAACACTTGATACCAAGACCTCCTATTCCCCCCATTCAGGGTTCGAGTAAAGACTGTCAGGTGAGGAAATGGCAAGCTGCTATAGAAGCAGAACAGAAAGCCAGTATATTTCAACTCTTTGAGAATCCCAACTTAGCCAGATGACCATTAGAAGGAGTCAGTCACCATGAATAATCAAGATTTCAAAGTCTGTTGCTTCAACCGTCCCTTTTAGCAGAGCATGTGGGTTTTAGGAATATGTGTGGCAGTGGTTAGGAGCTACCATGATTCTTTCACTAAAGTCATTTCCCTAACAGCTTACACAGCGGTGTCTACCTGTTAGTCAAGGAGAGCTGGAGAACTAGAAAGGCCTGGAAAACTGCTTCTCACTGTGGTCTAGGCAGTGCCCCCTGGACCAACCCCATCCCTCTTCCCTGCACACAGACCTTCCCACTTCCCGCCCTCGCTGCCCTGGTCACCACTGCTAGTGCACTGGCCCTTCCCTTTGTTTTCTTCCACCGTCTCCTCTAATTCAAGCAGCTGACCTGTAAAGTGGGCAGACCAGGGCCAAGTATTATTCTCATTTACAGGTGGGAAAACTGAGGCTGGGACTTTGTAAAGGTCCCCAGGCGAGGACTTTGTGGGCAGACATCAGCAAACAAGAGACCCACTCAAGAGCAGGCCACACCCCGGGACAAAGTCATAAACCATGACAGGGAATCTTTGTCAGAAGTAATAGAGACACTATATAGAACATCAGAGAATCAGGGTAAAAACCAAATCCCCATAATTCCAACCTACCAGAACTGCTATTAATATTTTATTTTTCCCTTTAATACTCTCATATGAATGTATTTATTTTTAAACAGATTCTAACAGCTCTATTTAAGTATTTTTCCAAGAATAAATTGGAAAAAAAGATCACCCTTTCATATCCCAGTAAGTCCTTCCCCTACCCCACCCCCGCCTAGCCCATCATCTTCAGCTCAGGTGGGGTCATAACCACAGCACCCCTCTCCACCTACCATCATCAGCTCCAAGAGAGAGGAATGTTGGCTGTCTGTCTCACCACTGTAACCCCAGAGTCAGGACAAGACCCTGGCACACACCAGGTGCTCCAAAACACAGTGAATGAAATATTTAAATTCACAATGTACCAATGCACACACTCCAAGCCATCTGAGCAGTCTTTCTAAGACCCAGCCCTCATAATGTCATAGGAAACAAGACCTTTCCAAACTCCTCTGCAACCCTGTGGCTCCTACATATAGACTTTCAGAACGTAGGCATCAGAAGTGGCCTTAGAGATCACCTGGCTCCTCCCCTTCATGGTGGCGATGAAATGTCTAAGGCCCAAAGGAGTCCAGGGACTTGGCTGAGGTCACACAGCAAAAAACTGAAGTTGGAATCAGAACTCAGGCCTTCTGATACCTAGACCTGTCCTCTTCCCACCTACCTTACTGCCACATTACTCAACTGTTCCACTTATTCACATACGTTCACTGAGCACCTACTACATGCCAGGCACCATGCAGGTATCAGGAAGACAATAGCGAGCAAACTGATCATGTCTAGTGTAAAATGAAGTATACATTTTAGTGTACTTGAGGAAACAAACAAAAACAAACTGACAAACCAATGTGTAACGTCAGGTAGTCTCAAGTACCACGAAGAAAAGAAAAATAACAAAACCATGAAAAAGCACAGACAGTGGAGGTGGGGTGCTGTTGTGACAGGGCAATGAGGGAAAGTCTCGCTGTGGAGATGATCCTTGAAGACAACCTGGATGAAGTGAGGGACTTGTGTGACCTCCTGGGGAATTACTTCAAGCACAAGGGGAGGTTATAAACGTTAGGAGGTCAGGGACTAACCTTTCTTTTTTCCCAGGCCTAACATTAGGACAAGCCCAGACAAACACTGTCAACCAAGAAGGTCCTCCTCTCCACAGTACTGTCGCCCTTCTCAAACAGATGTGGACGAAAGGGGCCACATGCTAACCTGACAAGCTCAGGGGAGGCCCGCATGACGGTCTTGCAAACTCAGAGACCTAAAGTAACCACAAAAGATGGCCTGAAATTAAACTTTAACTAAAAGCAGTTATGGTGGGTAGTTACAACCTAGGCCGGTATCTTCACTAACAAGGTCAACCTTTACCTTAATTAAGCCTATCTGTCTTTTTGCATCTATAATAACATACCCTTGAAATGTCTGGGTAACTTGTAACTTCCCTTTTTCTGGACCCCGTGGGGCACCACCTAACGTGCCTGGGTGCCAGGATAGATATCACAAATTCCTTCATTGTTATCATGTTAATTGTTCCTGCACCCACCTAAGTATGTGTCTATCATTTTACCTTTTATCCAATCCTAGGGGTTTCCCCCGCTTTGTTTTCTCCCGCCTCTCTAGTCTATCACCAATGGATTTCATGTAACCCACCTACGTCCCTTCCTTTGATTGCAATCCTATATAATAAAAGGCTAATATGCAAATCGACTGAATGGCAGAACAACCAGTCGCTATGACACACACTGACCACCAGGGGGCAGATGCTCAATGCAGGAGCTGCCCCCTGGTGGTCAGTATGCTCCCACAGGGGGAGCACCACTCAGCCAGAAGCTGGGCTCATGGCTGGCGAGCGCAGCGGCGGTGGTGGGGGCCTGTCCCACCTCTGGGGCAGCACTAAGGATATCCGACTGCCGGCTTAGGCCCACTGGCCAGGCTGAGGGGACCCTCCTCCGCCACCCACTCCCCCGCCCCCCGAGTGCACAAATTTCATGCACTGGGCCTCTAGTGTATAAATATAGATGTAACCTGCCATTCTCCAGAGCATTATTTCAATTTGTTGAGGTTCTGCTTCCTGGCTTATGTCGACAGTTTGGCTCAAATAAACTCACAAAAATTCTTTACAGGTTTGAATGTTTTTATGTTAACACAGAGGACGACGACTAACCCCTAGAAGTCGGTGTTCAGTGTGTGGAGAGTGACGCTGAGTACCTGGACAGAACTGGAAGAGCGAGGCGTGTGAGATATTTGCTGGGGCCCTGCGGGGAGAGCACATGGGAAGCATGGGCCTCTCTCTCCCACTCCCACCTAATGCCACAGCCCTTTATCTGGACCAGCCCTCAGCTCCCTCACCTTCCAAATACTCCATGGCCTATTTAGGAATGGCCTATTAGACCTTGTTTTAAAGCATAAGAGTGGCACTGGCTAAAGAGACAAGATAACTTGTATGCAAAGCCTGACCCTGCCACCTACCATACATGCGGACTTGAGCAAGTCACTTCATTCACTTCTCTAGTCTGTGATTTGCCCATCAGTAAAGTGCAATCACAGCTCTTGCCACCTCACCAGATGGAGACCAGGATCAATCTAATGAGGTGTGGGCATTTAAAATGCTACAGGAACACAAAGAATGATTCTTCCACAGGCTGCCCTCCAAGACAAGACAGCCCCAGCTCCTTCCATCCCCCAAGGCCCAGGACTCCTTCCTCTGCTGGTTAGACACTTCCCTCCAGGCTGTAGCTGCGCTCAGGAGCAACTGCACTGCAGCTGTAGCTGTAGCTGTAGCTGGCCTTGTGTCTGATTTCTATTCACATGGCAAGCAAGCCTCCTTTTTTTCAAACTTATGTAACACATTTTCCTCCATCCCTGGCTGTCAACAACAGCTTTCCCCCACCTGCCCCAGGGAACAGCATTGCTTGGGAGGCTGCAAAGATCCCTGATGGGGGTAGGGTCAGAAAGGAGCAGAGGGAAACCCTGAGGGGCGTTTTCCTGCTTGGGCCACGTCTGTCCTAGGAGCCAGATGCACTACACATGGCCCCTCCTGGTGACCCGGAAGCCTGACAAGAAGGTGCTTGAAGACCTGGGCACACTAAATCCCTCAACTCCAGAGCATGTGGCTGGAGCAGCCAAGCTGGAGCAAGCTCCTCCCTGGCAGCCCCAGCCAAATGGGGCTCTTCTCTGAAGGCACAAAAGAGGTACATATTAGACAAGATCAGAGAGAGAGGTTCCCTCTAACTGTCAGCATCCACATTTGCTTTCTACAATCGCCTCCTTCCTCTGTTCCCACTCCTAGTATCTTCCCCCTCCAGCAGGACAGCACCTACAGATGCTCCTGTCTGCCTTAGAGTACAGTCCAAGCCCCTTGGCCTGCCTTTCCAAGTCTTTCATTGTCCCTCCTTACTTCTCCACATCTCATGTCCATCTCCTCTGGGCTCAGGCTTGCCTGCCTCTCTAATGTGCTGTTTTTTCCTGGCACCTGCATCTAAAGCATCCTCCTCTACCACCCACCCTTCTCACTTCTACTTCTAGATGCCTCGTTCTTCCCAGTCCCCTTCCCAATGTGGAATACTTTCCTGCTTCTGGAGCCCAGGGTTTAATTGGCTTCCTCCCATATATCTCCTAGCAGCAACCTTAAATATTGTTCAAATCATAGGCCCAGTCTCTCCCTACTTGGGTTCTCCAGGCCTTGGGTTCTCTTTCTGACCCTTCAATATCAAAAGAGTGAGGCTAGGGCCCTAGTTGGTTTGGCTCAGTGGATAGAGCATTGGCCTGCAGACTGAAGGGTCCCTGGGTTTG